AATTCAATGGCATCAATTATATTCACAATGTTGTGCAACTGTCACCACAATCTATTTCCAAAATTTCATTGCCCAACGATATCTTTTCATGACTTTAAAAGATGCCTGCTTTGAGTGGGCAAACTGAGAAAAGATGCCCTCTGGACCATCACAACCCAGGCCTGGGTATATTTTTTGGTGAATGGAGCATGGCTGGAGTTCAGCCCCCATTTACCTGTGGCCAGGCAGCATGTGCAGCACACACCTCCACAACCTTTTACAGCAGCTCTGTTGATACTATCACCTCAGCACAGGCATCCAGACAGAGCAAGAACCTGCCATCTGAGGCAGCTGAGGGGAGGAGAAAGAGCACATTCATTTGCTCATTGTTCTGTGCACTGATTCTAGGGCAGGCTTTGTGCTGTGCACATGCATGTGTCTCCTGCAAAGGACTGCTTCCTGCTTTAACGCCTCATCCAGATCACACAACCTACCTCCAAGAGTCCTTCCCTGATTCTCCTAATTCTAGTGGGGACTTGGGGATGCATGTAGCTGTATGGAGAAGAATAAGATAGAAGAAAGTGGTGCTTTTGAAGATGAAAAGAGGAATGAGGAAGGCCAAGTTCTCAGATGGCAAATCTGTCCCTACCCACTCACATTGGTTTCTCTGGGTAGCCATAACAAATGCCCCAGGGCTGTGCCTGTCTAAAGGCTCTAGGAGAGAATCGTTCTTTGCCTCCTGTAGCTTCTGTTGGTTCCAACATTCCTTGACTGGTAGCAGCATAATTATAATCTCTTCCTCTATTTTCTTGGCCTTCTCCTCTTCTCTGTGTGTGTCTCTTATAAGAGACCCTTGTCATGTGATTTGGGGCCTACTGGGTAATGCAGGATGATCTCAGCTCGAGATCCTTACTTTAATTACATCTGCAAAGATCCTTTTTCCAAAAAGAGTCACCTTCTCAGCTTCTGGAGTTTAAGATATGGACACATCTTATTGGGGGCTACCATTCAACACACTACGACTCTCTAGGCCTTTGGTTGACAGCAGTGGAGAAGAAAACCTTTGACCCACCTTGGTTGAGACTCGGTGCAGTGATCACCATTGTATATCCTAACAACGATGGCCGAACTGAGGCCCAAGGCTGGTGCCAAATCTGCCATTTATGAGTGACGCAACCATTTTTGTTTTAGGTGTAAATTACATGGCTCGACCTAACATTAGGTAACGGGCTTCCTATTGGGTGTGTGTTCACACACCAGGACCATGGCAGCCTCACAGGGAGACACTCGATTTTCTGGTTAGCTGTGGAATGATGGTGCTGTGTAAGCTGGCATATCTCCTCAGGTGGGAGCTAGAGATTGCCTGAACTTGAACAGAGTCTGTGGCTCTTTGAGCTGCTTCTCTTCAATCACTGAGAGCTGAGATGCCAGTGGAGGAAATGCTTCTCTTTAAACAGAGCTTCCCTTCCCTCAGAGCTGAGAGTAGAAATATATCCCTTAAATCAGAAGACGAGTGGAGAAGGTTAGGCCTACTAGCTGTCTTCTGCAGCTTCCTGAGACGTTTTTCTCCCCACTCTCCCACACCCTCCTCTCCTTTATTTTAGCGAGCAAGCGATGAGGCAGAATTCACTTTGGGGCTCAGAACTTGAAGAGCCCCAAGGTGGAGAAAGGGGTGGGGAGAAGGATTCTCAGCATTTTTTCTAGATGTGTTCTGTGAGGAGAATTTGACAGCTTCTTCCCCTTAACTCACATCTAGCTTTTTCCTTTTCTAAGAACCCACTTCTAAATAAGCAGTATCCAAATAAAAAAGAATCACAGAATGTGACTAACGGTTTACTAGGTGCTTAGTGGTTGACCCGTACAAGGATGATTGACCTTTGAAGAACATGGCTTTGAATTCTGCAGGTCTACTTACTTGTGGATTTTTTTCAATAAATACCTATAGTACTATAAATGTATTTTCTCTTATGATTTTTTTTAAGTAACATTTTTTCTAGCTTACTTTATTTTAAGAATACAGTATATAACGCATATAACATAGAAAATATGTGTTAATAGGTTGTTTGTTACTGGTAAGACTTCCAGTTAATATAGGCTGTTAGCAGTTAAGTTTTTGTGGAGTTAAAAGTTATATGTGGATTTTTGACTGTGCAGCAGGTGGTGCCCCTAACCTCTGTGTAGTTCAGGGGTCAACTGTATACGTATATTAAACTTGCGAAGATTGAAAGGTAAGGAAAGAAGCAAAGCAGTCGTAGGCATATGCATGGGACCACCAATGAGACATAATGTCAAGGCTCCATTGATGAACAGTGTCATTGTGGAAAAATCCCCTGGAAGAGGCAGATCGTGGGCTTCTACTTAGGGGCAGGAACAATAGTTGACAGGAAGAACAAGTTTTCCACATGAGTGAGAAAGACATCTAAGCAAAGATCAGATCCTGGAAGGCAAGATCAAAGCGGCAAGAAGAAGTAACTATGCACAAAAAAGAATAACAGGGCTATGTGGGAATTTAGACAGTATTCCACAGGGAAGGAGCACAAAGTGGAAGGATGGGGTTGTTTAGCAGAGGGCATCAGGCTCTGAGGCTCTGGTCTGTGGGCGAATGCCGGTAGAAACTGGGAAAGCAGAGTGATGTCTTTGCAGTGAGGGCTTAGATCTGGGAAGTCTGTGGAATTAACTATTTCTATTCTTGCTTCTAAATGGCTGGGTAGGATTCACATGTGTACTTAGTACATTTAACCTATAAATAAACGTCTCTGTGGCAAGAATTCCTGACTCAAATGGCTTTCACAAAATGTGTGAGTAGGATGCAGGGTGCAACAAGAAAACCAGCATTAACTCAGGACCTACTATGCGCCAGGACACTGTGATAGAGGTGTGTGTGTGTGTACACATATTATCTCATAGCATCCTCATAATGAGTCTCTGAGATAGTTATTGTTACTTATGAGAAAAATGAGGCTCAGAGAGGTTCAGTGATTTTCCCAAGGCCACACAGTCAAAGTCATGGGCCTACATTCAAACCTCAGTCAGCTTCATTCAAGGCCTGGTCATTTTCTGCAGGTCGACTCTACCCCTGGCACTGGTTCTCTTTCTGCACAGAGCAGGAAGCTGCTCTACTTTCCTGTGTGTTCTTTCCAGTATCTCCATGGTTGGGTGTGGCTGAGCTAACAGGTACCTGTTTTTTTTTTCCCAGACCGAACACTTGGGAAGATTCCACTCTGAGTTATGGTGACTCTACTTTAGAGCCTGTTGCTACTTGTGACTTTGCCTCTTGCCCTTCTATCAGGCAGCATACTGCCTTTGATCAAAGCAGCCGCTCCTCTGGGGATAGCCCAAGGCAGGGTGGTACGTGCTGACTTCCCCACATGAGCAACACTGAGTGGCGGGGTTGTGGGAGCATGATTTCTCAGTGCATTCTGCCCACACCCTCAGCTCATAGTGGCTGCATGGAGATCTGAATTATTCCCATCCTCTACGTCTTTTTTTGTCCAGAAGAAGCTGGACTGGAATTTCTTTTCTTTTTTTTTCTTAACCTTACAAAATAGACTTTATTTTATTTTATTTATATTTAATGGTGAAAACATTAGGAAAATTACTGTGCTTTTTTAAAAATTTATTTTTATTAAGATGACACTGGTTAACAAAATCCAGTTTCAGACGTACAGTTAAACAGTGAGCCATATACATATTGCGATGTGTGTTCTCTCATAGTTAGATTTCTTTCTATCACCACATATTTGACCCCTTTCACTCCATCTACTTCCCGC